TATTATTATTACTATCATCATTTCCATTATTACTATGATGATGATGATTATTATTACCAATACTGTTATCATCATCATTACAATGATGATTATAATTTCCATGTTCATTATCATTATTACTATTATAATTATCATTATAATTTTATCATTATTACTACAACTGTTACTATAATAATAATAATAATGATAATAATAATAATAATAATAATAATAATAAATAATAATAAAAATCATCATCATCATTACTTTTTTATCATTTTCGTAATCATTATCCTTATCATTATTATTGTTATTATTATTATTATTTTTATTATTATTATCATCATTTTTAGTTCCACTATTATTGTTGCTATTATTATCGTTATAATGTGATTATAATTGCCATTATCATTACTGTTATTATAACTATTATCATTATTATTATTATTATTATTATTATTATCGTCATCATTATTATCATTATTATTATTATTATTATTATTATTGTTATTATTATAATTATTGTTAATATTATTATTAACATCATCATTATTTTTATTATTATCATTATATTATTATTGTTGTTGTTGATGTTATTGTCATTATTATTATTATTATTGTTGTTGTTATTGTTGATGTTGTTATCATTATTAATAGTAGTATAAGTAATATAATTATCATTGTTATTATTATCATTATTATTATTATTATTGTTATTGTTGTTGTTATTATTATTATCATTATTATCATCATTACTATTATTATTATTACTTCAATAATGATTATCCTCATTATTATTATCATTACCACTACTACTATATTTTTCACTACTATTATGATTACTATTGTTGTTTTTATGACTATTATTATCATTATTATTATCATCATCGTCATTATTATTGTTATCAGCATCATTATCATCATTACTATTTTTATGAGTGTTATCATTATCATCATTAGCAGTAATGATATCATTATTCATTTCTATTGTTATTATTATTATCTTTATTATCATCATTATTATTATCACTATTATTGGTATTGTTATTATTGCTTTTATTATTACTATCATTATTATCATCATCATCATTGTTATTGTTATTATTATCATTATAATAATTAATATAATTATTACTATCCTTATTACAATTAATATTATCATCATCAATATCATCATAACTAAGGTGAAAATGAACTTACAAGTCATTGAATCTAAATAACATAGATCGAATTATTCTAATTAAATACACAACATACTATTATATCCTAAACAATTATCATATAATCATCATAACTACCGAAAAAAACAATCAAATAATTTTCATCACAGATCTGTAAGTTCCTATATAACCGTCGCTTGTCAAAGAATTATTTTTGAGAATGAGGAATGTTGAATGTGTAAACTGCCAAATTCGTTATAAGTGGAAGGACGTAAGTAGTTTTGTAGTTTTTGGCGATAAAAAAATACTCTTATGTATTTAAGCTTATCGCTAAAGCCACCAATATTGTGATTAATTGTATTGCTATTATTATGAACTTACCTTAATTTTTTATCGCTATAGAGTAAAGGCTATTTATGTGTATCATCATTATTATCATTACATTATTACTATTACTACTTTTATTATCATTACGATTATAATTATCACTATTATTATCATTATCATTATCAAAGTCATCATCATTATAAACCATTAACACCATTATTAGTAATAGTAAAAAAAGGCATAACAGATAAATTCACCCTTAATACTCTTATCAACGATAACATTAATAGTGTATTTGTCATCATTAGTGGTATAATTAATCATTCTCATCATTATTGTCTAAATCAAGGATCCATTTTTTTCTGTATTCCAGCTCCGCCACTGTCTTTTAAAAGTCTGTGCAATCATTAAAGACAAGATGATTATTCGTTACGCCAACAATGTGACAACAAACAACGAAACGAATGTAAAAGAAAAAAATAAAACAATAAAAGAAAAGAAGAGAGAGAAAAAAAAGAAACAAGTGAAAGTCAGAAGCCAAGAAGAGAATTACCCAACGTTTCATTTAATCCTATTTTCTGTGGCCTTTAACCCTATTCTCGAAGGGTATAAGTGAAACAAAAATAAAGACAAATGAACCCTGAGACCTAAAATAAGGTAGCGTCTATGTAAAAGATATTTTTTTTCCAGTGAGACGAAGTACTGGCGATGCAACAAATATTCTGAAAGATTCCCTGAATCCCTGCGTGATAATGATAAAACAAACAAACAAAAATGTTACATCAGAAATCAAGAACACAAAGATGAGACACGATTTCATGACCTTTATTAAATATTTATAACGTAATGTGCATTTCGATGTGTGTGTCTAAGCGTGTTTGAACATGTTTGTATTATTCCTAACAAAAAAAAAGAAAAAGAAAAAGTATTGTCTAATGATTGTTATAAAAATCATTTGTAATCACTTGCATGTTAATTGAGTTACTGTCATTAAACTGAACTAATACTGACAATGAAATAATGAAACGACCTGGGAACTATACTGAATGTTATTTTATTTGCCTTTTATATTTCTGTTCTGCTTCGACACGAGTACATAAGTGATCATACATGCATGAGACATAAATCAAGTCGTGTAAACCAAACCAATATACTAAGGGTCCCTATCGAACCAGCGACCAAAGAGTCTAAGTGATAGAAGGTAATCTACATCCTCGTGCAAAACCAGTGTACTCTTCACCATCTTCTCACTTGAAACCGAAGACTCGAAGTCCCACAGAGATGTGTCGACGAGCTTGAGTTCTTGGGTGAAGACGGAAGGGTATATGTAAGAAGTATCGAAGTCCCCCGTGATGTTGTGAGCGCGGAAAGACGTTTTCTGTGGAGCCCCGTTTTCTTCGATGCGTGCGCACGACGTCACGTTTTCGTTCAAGCAGTAAACGACAGCGCAGACTTGCGTAAATAGCAAGTACGCCCCATCTCCTTTCTCCGCCACGCCACTGTACGCAAGGAGCAGGAAGGAAGACTCGTCGGTGGGATCGGCGGGGAAGGAGTACGTCACAGAGCAACAGAGACTGTCGTTGTGACAAAGACTCCTCTTCATCACGCCGTCCCCTCTCTCAAGCGCGTAATTTGAATACCGGTCAAGGTCTTCGTGTAAAAAGACGCGATCAGTGCGGATTTCCCTTCCTTCTGCCTCGGGTTGGCCTTTCTGCTCTTCCGTCTCAACATCCTCCCCGTTATCAGTAGGGATCCAACCCGTTTCCTGGAGAATGCCCAAGGCAACTTCCTCTCCCACAGGTACTGCTTGGGAAGGAGACTGAATCACCGTGGCATCACTGTCCATCCTTGCCGTTCCCTTGGACGTCGTAGCGTCGTCGCTGTGGCCAGTCGGTGTCGGCAGCGGCGTGGTGCGACGACTCACGACCTCCCCAACCAGAAGCTTAGTCCCGCTGTTGGGGTCGTATGTGTAGAGGCTGTCTTGCGAAGTCAGACCGCGGAATATGCCCGAGCCGAGAGCCCCCTCCTCCGGGCCGTGGAAGTTGGCGACCATCAGATTGACGGCCAGGCCCTCGCTCCAGCTCTGCCACATCTGAGGAGCTGACGGCCAACAAGTGTCGATATAATATTTGTACAAGAGTCAGCACTAAGCAGTACTATAACATTCTAAAAAGTAAATTATAAATGCAATATTTGGCAATATCATACAGCCAGTCACCGGCGTCGCTAAGAGGGAGAGTTCCAATGGAGTCGGCCTCCAAATGACGCCCGTTTATAACAATCAAAAAATAAATATACATAAATATATACATATATACAAATAAAATATACGGAACCCTTTAAGGGACCTTGCCCCCTGAACTTTAAATGTTTAGCCACGACACTGCAAAAACTAATTATGTATGTTTGTATCCTCTGTATGAAATTTATAACACAATATGAAACTGAACTAAGCACATCATAGCACACACAAAAAACAATAAATAACGAATGAATTAACGAATGGTTGACTTAATTCCTAAACAGACTAACGACAAATCAAGAAGACACAAAACAACAACACACCGGTAAGAAAAGGCAGCTCATCCACCCAGTAACTGCTCATTATGACGTCGGTCACCCCTCGTTCGACCACGTTGCTTGTTCCTGGTCCGCCGTAGAGGATGTCAAAACACACCTGAAAAGAGGACATTCTATTTACTAAAAACCAAAGGAGCATTTAGTCTATTTTCTTGTATTAATTTACGGTTGCTGTTTTGGTACTTTTGGTTTTGATTTTTTTTTTATGAATAAAGCGTTCTCGTGTAGTTCTTGATCGTGTGGGTTTATTGAAGTTTGAATTGGTTTTATTCCATTAGATATTGATAAACAGACTAAGCTCTTAAGCCAGATGGAAAAGGGATATTCAGAGAATTTAGAACATGGGATTTTACAGTTGAGACTCACGTCATGCCAGAGAGAGCGAGAGACAGGCAGACAAATAGACAATCAGGCAGAGAAAGTGAAAAAGAGACAGAGAAATAGAGAAAAAAAGAAATATCCGAGAAGAGAGAAATTCCCAAGTCATGCCTGGCGTAAGCTTGGGATAGGTCTGGCTATAGGGGGCGGTTGGAGGCCATATAAAGTAGCAGAGAAGGGGAGAAAGAGGAAGCTTGAGCAGGAGGAGGAGGAAGAGGAGGAGGAGGAGGTCGATTAGGAGGAGGAGGAGGAGGAGGAGAGGAAGGAGGTCGATTAGGAGGAGGAGGAGGAGGAAGAGGAGGAGGAGGAGGTCGATTAGGAGGAGGAGGAGGAGGAGAGGAAGGAGGTCGATTAGGAGGAGGAGGAAGAGGAAGAGGAGAATAATAACCATAATAATAATAAGGAAGTGGAGGGGGGGGTGGGTGAGGGAGTAAAAGAAATGGAAAAAACAGAAGCAGAAGAAAATAAAACAAGGAAGAAGTGACGGGTAAGGAAGGGAGAGGAGGAGAGGAGGAGGAGGAGAGGAGGAGGAGGAGGTCGATTAGGAGGAGGAGGAAGAGGAGGAGGAGGAGGAAGAGGAGGAGGAGGAGGTCGATTAGGAGGAGGAGGAAGAGGAGGAGGAGGAGAGGAGGAGGAGGAGGTCGATTAGGAGGAGGAGGAGGTCGATTAGGAGGAGGAGGAGGTCGATTAGGAGGAGGAGGAGGAGGAGGTCGATTAGGAGGAGGAGGAGGAGGTCGATTAGGAGGAGGAGGAGGAGGAGGTCGATTAGGAGGAGGAGGAGGAGGTCGATTAGGAGGAGGAGGAGGAGGAGGTCGATTAGGAGGAGGAGGAAGAGGAGGAGGAGGAGGTCGATTAGGAGGAGGAGGAGGTCGATTAGGAGGAGGAGGAGGTCGATTAGGAGGAGGAGGAAGAGGAGGAGGAGGAGAGGAGGAGGAGGAGGAGGTCGATTAGGAGGAGGAGGAGGAGGAGGTCGATTAGGAGGAGGAGGAGGAGGTCGATTAGGAGGAGGAGGAAGAGGAGGAGGAGGAGGTCGATTAGGAGGAGGAGGAGGTCGATTAGGAGGAGGAGGAGGTCGATTAGGAGGAGGAGGAGGAGGTCGATTAGGAGGAGGAGGAGGTCGATTAGGAGGAGGAGGAGGTCGATTAGGAGGAGGAGGAAGAGGAGGAGGAGGAGAGGAGGAGGAGGAGGTCGATTAGGAGGAGGAGGAGGTCGATTAGGAGGAGGAGGAGGTCGATTAGGAGGAGGAGGAGGAGAGGAGGAGGAGGAGGAGGAGGAGGTCGATTAGGAGGAGGAGGAGGAGGAGGAGGAGGTCGATTAGGAGGAGGAGGAGGAGGAGGAGGTCGATTAGGAGGAGGAGGAGGAGGAGGTCGATTAGGAGGAGGAGGAGGAGGAGGAGGTCGATTAGGAGGAGGAGGAGGTCGATTAGGAGGAGGAGGAGGTCGATTAGGAGGAGGAGGAGGTCGATTAGGAGGAGGAGGAAGAGGAGGAGGAGGAGGAGGAAGTAGAAGAATAGAAGAATGAAAACCAAAGAACACCACATCACCAGAACGAGTAAACAACGCAATACTAGTAGTTACCAGTAAAAGCCAACACCGGTAGTTAGAGAAAGCAACACCAGTAGATAATGAAGCCAACACCAGTAGTTAGGGAAAGCAACACCGGTAGTTAGAGAAAGCAACACCAGTAGATAATGAAGCCAACACCAGTAGTTAGGGAAAGCAACACCGGTAGTTAGAGAAAGCAACACCGATAGTTAGAAAAGGCAATACCAGTAGTTAAGGAAGCCAAAACCGGTAGTTAGAGAAAGCAACACCGGTAGTTATAGAAAACAACACCGGTAGTTAGAGAAAGCAACACCAGTAGTTAGAGAAAGCAACACCAGTAGTTAGAGAAAGCAACACCGGTAGTTAAAGAATTTTAAATTTAAATTTAAACTACACCGGTAGTTAGAGACCAAAACCAGTAGATTAGGAAGCCCAAACCGGTAGTTAGAGATAGCAAAACCGGTAATTAAAGAAGAAAACACCGATAGTTACAGAGGCCAACACCACTAGGAACACCAAACGACCCTCTCAAACCCTAACGACTCCCAGACTTCCCCCATCCCCCCCACCTCCCCACCCATAATACCACCTATTCAGGTACCTGCAAACTAAACGTGACCCCGAAATCGGTAGTGAAGATGGCTTCCCTATCGTCCTGTGAGCCCGGAGTGAAGCCTGGCTCGAGGTAGAGGGACTTCTTATGGTATCTGGGGAGAAAAAAGGTGTGGTATGGGTGGTGGTATCTCGTTGTCAGGTGGGGAGGGGGGGGGGTCGTGGTGAAGAGTTGTGAGAAGGGTGTGTTTGTTTGTTGTGTGTGGACGCGTGGGTGTTTGTGTTTGTGTGTGTGTATGTGTATGTGTATGTGTATGTGTGTGTTTGTGTTTGTGTGTGTGATTCTTTCGTAAAATACTAGCAATGATGGTAATAATAATAGTAATGATAATAATAATAACAATAACAACAATAAGTAGTGACGATGATAATAATAATAATAAGCAATAATAAGGGCAACAGTAATAAATGTAATGATATTGATAATTAAGATAATAGTGACACTAGTAATGGCAATAACAATGATAATGAAGGTCATGATGATAATAATAAAAATAAAAACAACATGAGCAACAACAACAATGTTAATAATAATATCAATAACAATGCAAATAATAATGGTAATAGTAATAATAATAATAATAATAATAACATCAATAACAATGATACTACTACTACTATTCCACTGCTACTACTACTACTGCTACCACTGCTACTATTACTACTACTATTACTATTGCTACGACTACTAATATTACTACTGCTACTAATACTACTACCAATAATAATGATGATAATAATAATAATAATAATAATAATAATAATAATAATAATAACAATAATAATAATAATAATAATAATGATAATAATAATAATAACAACAACAATAACAATGATACTACTACTACTATTACTATTGCTACTACAACTACTACCAATAATGTAATAATAAGAATAACAAAATGATAATAATGACAAAA